GGTTTCCAAGGGTGTAAATCTTTACGGGAGTAGAAAGCCTCATCTTTCTCACTATATAGGAGGTATGAATGCAGTAGGGTCCAACGGTCACTGAGAGTTTAGTTTATTTGAACAGCCAATGATGTCAGGAGCTATGCTGGTGAATAGGTTATAACAAGATACAGGAGTTTAGTTGTGGTAACAGGTTAAGAAATTAGATAATGAAAAACCAAATCACTCTTTCTTTGTGGATCAAAAGCATGCCTTTACAGAGACAAACTTAGAAAACACTGTGCTGAGTGAAATTAGTCAATCACAAAATGACAAATAGTGTATAATTTCATTTTCACAAAATAAGCAATATCTAGAAACCAAAGATTAGTGTTTACTAGGGGTGTCAGATAGTAAAGAATGGGGAGTTTGTGCTTAGGGGGTATTGAGTTTATGCTAATACTGGTGGAATACGTTGGAAAAGGAAAGTGATAAAAGTTGCACAGCACGAAGAATGTAATTAATAGTACTACATTGCACATGGTGGAAATTGGTGAAAGTTTTGTGATTTCCAAAAAAGATTAAAAAAAAAAAATTGGTATCCTCAAATCATGGGTAGGCTGTTAGTCACACTTAGAGGTGTTCAGAAACAAGTTCATATTATTTCCTCATCACTTACCTTTAAGTTCCTGGAGTCCCATGCTCCAACTTTCGATGTTACTCTCATAGAACTCAAGATTCTCAAGGGCCTCTACTCTCAACGATTCATTTTGTTTCTCCTCCAGCATTACGTTTAGCTCTTCTTGCGTTCCCCTAGACATACCCGAATCCCATTCCATTTCTTGAATCTTCACCAACACTAAGGGACACTGGGATGTTTGCTCCAGAGTCTTTTCTGTGTTCTCAAGGCCCTCTTGCTCTTGAGTCTCACAGCTAGGATGGTTACAGGTTAGGAGCTTGAAGGATGCTGTATTTGTTCTCAGCTGTGCTGATGGAGGCAAGGGAGCTGGGCGAGAGGGCCGCACTGCCAAGGGGAGTGCAAGTTTCAGGTTCTGGTCAGCCAGCAAATGGGGGGAAGTGGATACTGGGGTACAGGGACGTGGTGGTGGTGGTCTCAGGGCTTTCCTCCTCTCAGGTAGTTCCTGCTGGGTGATTACCTTAGAGGAACCTCGGACAATATCCTTCTCAGAGTTAAAGTCCATGATGGAAAATTGGCGTAAGACTTTATCTGGCTCTGCGCCTGGCCCGGACAAGCTCTTCTCAAACTCTATCAGCTGTTGGGTCAACTTAGAATCCAGGTCACTGCTGCCATCTCCCTGTTCAAGTGCCGCTGCTTGCACAGCAGGCTTCTTGCTTGGAAAACTGGGTGTCATCGTTAGCTTCTCTGATGCAGAGCCAAAGCTGAAAGCATGGTCTTTGGCCTTGTAGTGATTTTTAGTACACCTCATCATACCCTGGAGCTGAGGGTCCTGTTGGCTGGGTTTGACTATCTCAGAGGCTGAGAGGGAAGAGCTGCTATAAAGAGGGGCCACTGGCTTCTGAGCAATGTTCCGCTGGGAATAGGTTCCTTTGAGAGGTAGGCTGGAGTAGTCTCTACTCCTTGCTTCTAGAGGAAGAGGGTCTGAGCTCTGGTGACTCTCTCCTGCTGAAAAATAATACTGGTTTTTCTGCAAGCTGGGGTGTAAAGGTACCTGAGGTTGGGAGGAAATACCATTGACCACCTCTAAAGGCTCATTCATGGAAGAGTCTCTGACAAGAGGCTTTTCATGTGCTGTGTCTAGGGTTCTCAGAGACCCAGCTAAGGTGTCTTGATCTTGAGAAGAGCTTTTATCTACTTCACACTCAGAGTTCATATGATCTAGAGGAGAAGCGAAAGCTCCAGAAATAACACAATTGGACTTGTCTCCGGTATACTCAGGAGCATGTCTTTTTTCTTCTAACACTAAGGAGTTCTCCAAACAACCCGAAGAAGTTTCAGGGATCTCGGTAAGGCTGCTTTCCGGTGGTACATCTGTGGTTCCCACTTCTCTTATGTTAGGACAGAGCTTTACAAAACGGTGAGGAAAGATGCCAGTCCTGCCCTTGAGTGAGCCTTCTAGCCAGCCGTCTTCCAGGGTCCCCAGAATTCGGATTCTATCCCCTACCTCAAAATCCAACTCATTTGGCTCCAGGGCCTGGAATCTGTAGAGGGCAGTTCCATAGGTCCCTGGTTGTCCTTCATCCTCTTCTCCTGCAGGGCTATCTACTACACCATTTATGACGCACCCATCTTGACTTCCAGAACTTAACGACTTATCCACAGACCTCAGGGGCCCCAAAAGCTCTACAAAACCTTCTGGGAAAATGCCTCTTTGACCTTCCAACTCCCCTTCAAACCAGCCTGGTTCAGGAACCCCAATAATAGTAATCACATCCCCTTCTCTGAAGTCCAGTTCCTCATCCAGCTGGGCAGAAAGCCCCATCAGGGCCCGAGCTTGTCCCATGGAATAGTCAGGAATCTGAAGCAGGGCGCTCTGTGAGTGCCACTGACGGCTTTGTGAGGAGAGGCAGAGCTCACGGACACATGAAGATGGGAAGAAGCCCTGTGCACCCCAGCAACTTCGACCTTGCAGCCAGCCAGCAGTGGGAGCGCCATCGAGAATCACTAGGTCACCTAGAGAAGGAGGAGAAGCAAATGAAATGACCTCAGTCATCACCTCAGCACAACGTGACTATAACTAATTGTTTTAAACATCTTTCAAATTTAAGGACTCCTAAGAGCATGAAATGGAACATTCTAATACACTGCAGGCTTTAAATAAGCAGATATCAGAGGCCTGGGTGAGAGAGACAGATCTCTGAGGTCCTTTTAGAGGGTCTATACTAAGATCTTGTCTACACTTTCACTGTACTGTCATTTGCAATGTCGAAGCAAAGGCAATGGTAAAACTGGGGTGCCTTAGCATGAAACAAGGCAATGACAACAAATAGTACAAGTAGCCATTGTTTGGTCATTATTTAAAGAAAAAGATTGCTCTAGACACCTCGGAAGGGATTTAAGTGCTAAACTACCATAAAGCTACTCTTAGTTTCCTCTTCTTATATAACGTGGCACTCACATCCGCCCAATTACCCATGAGACCGTATAGCACACAAGGAGGTCTGATTGTCCTCATACAAACCCACTCATTCTTAACTTCAGATCTGTACTAATTATACATTCCCTTGTCTGCTGAAACCTTACCATGCTTTCCTAAAATAACCTTAGAAGTCACACTCGTCTATCTATACTCTACAAAAAAAGCATGCCATGTCCCTAATTCTGACATGTATTTTTATAGGCTACAGAGCACCTAATGTAAACTTTTACACTTAATGGTAGACACTCAATATATCTTCACTAATTTGATACTATTTTCATCAGATGTTCCTAAAAAATAGGGTCTTGATATTACATTCCTTTATTCCTTTAACTTAGAATTAATTCAGTATCCATTGGACAGAGGCTGTTGTGTTATTGTTAAGTGCCGTCGAGTTGATTCTAACTCATAGTGATCCTGTATGGGGTTTTCGAGGAGTAGATGGTGAGTTGGAACTACTGATCTTGCGGTCAGCAGTCCAGGGCTTATTCGACAGCACCACATCAGGACCCCTTGAACAGACATGAGATCCTGAGAATGACAAGTAATTTTCCCCACTGGCCCTGAGGCCATCCCACTGACCACAGAGGAGCTCAGGCGGCATAACCACTGTGCAAACACAAAGAGTTCTTGGTGAAGGAACAGACGGGAAGAATGAAGCGAGCCCCACACAGCTCCCCCTCTGCAGGCATGGATAGCAAGCGGCTCTCTTAAGGCTGCAGGTCTGTGGTCTTTTCTTTGTTTTGTCAGCTCTCCATGAAACCGATATAATGAGGCTTGTTCTTCTATTTTCCCCTGGGTGACTGCTTTGAAAGGCTTCCTTACCTTGCAGACTGTCATTCTACATAAGAAAGATAACTTTGTTAAAAATCACAATTTAGACCCTAGAAAGCACCTTTTTAAATATTGTTTATTGTTGTGTATGTATGTATATACACGTATACATATAAACACACACACACACAAAGATATATACACATACATATAGGGGCATATGTGTGTGTATAGCATAAGCACTGGACTGCTAACCTCAAGTCTGGCAATTCAAATCCACCAGTCACCCCTTGGAAACCCTATATGGGGTTGCTCCGGTGGATTCCACTGTGCTTTCTGCCTTTTTACCATTCTTTTTCTGACAATTCTGAAGTAGATGACAGACCTCCATTGGAAATCTAAGGTAAAAAACCATGAAATCCTGGTGAATCGCTATAAAATAAGCACTGCACTGCTAACGGTGCTCCTTGGAAACCCTATAAAAGGTTGCTATGGGCCACAATTGGCTCGAAGGCACTTAGCAACAATAATATGTAAAACACAGTATTTGCAAATTCAGCATTTTTCAAGAGTACAATTTAGTGATATCAATTCCTTCTTCAATTTCTCAGTCAAATTTAGTTACTTTACAGCCCTGACTGTGACTGATTTTTTTGTATGAGTTTCTCATATTCGTCAGAAGGCGACACGGAAGCTATTCTTCTGGGATCCTAATGGCCACGTTAGGTATGGAGGCCACCTGGAGGCCATTTCTATACTTCTCAAACCCAACACAAGGAACTTCTGGAATAGCATGACTAGATTTTGAGAACAAAAAAATGGGAAGTGTGGTGGCCCACGGGGTCAGCCTTAGTCTTCGGTTCATATGCACAATCTCATATCACTTGTGAATATGCACAATATTTTCTTTCCTCTTTGCCTCTTCATTGTCACACTCACTTGTTTTGCTTGTTCTATCTTTCCGTCATTAGAGCAGCCAATGGCACTGGCCATTCGTATTGGCCCTTCTTATAGAAGAGTCTTTTTTCTGAATTTAACTTAAAATGGTGTTGTTAGGTGGCATCGAGTCAGTGATTCATAGGGACCCTATACACAACAGAACAAAATACCTCCCCTCGGTACTGTGCCATCCTCACAACTGTTGCTAGGTTTGAACTCACTGCTGCTGCCACTGTGCCAATCCATCTTGTTGGGGGTCTTCTTCCCCCTCACTGACCCTCCATGTTACCGAGTGTGATGCACCTTCTGACAATATAGCTGAAGTACGAGAAACGAAGTCTCGCCATCCTAGCATCCAAGGAGCACCCTGGGTGTAACTCCTACCTAGATTTGTTTGTTCTTCTGGCAGTCCATGGCACTCTTAATATTCCTAGCCAACACTGTAACTCAAATGCATTCATTGTTCTACGCTCTTCCTTATTCGCTGTCCAACTTCCACATGCAGGAGGCTATTGAGAATATCATTGCATGGGTCAGGTGAACCTTAGTCCTCAAACTGAAATCTCTGCCTAATGCAATAAGTCATTTGATTACTTGATTGTTGCTTCCATGAGTGTTGATACTAGATCCAAGCAAAATGAAATCATTGAAAACTTCAAACTTTTCTCCATTTATCATGGTGCTATTTATTGGTTCAGTGGTGAGGCTTTTTGTTTTCTGTACATTGAAGTGTAAGCCCTGACTGAAGGCTGTGTGGTCTTCTATCTTCATTAGTAATATTTTGAGTCCTCTTCCCTTTCAGAAAGCAAAGTTGTATCATTTGCATATCGCAGGTTGTTAATGAGTCTTCCTCCATGCCTGATGCCACATTCTTCTTCATATAACCCAGCTTCTCTGATTATTTGCTCAGCATACAGATTGACGAAGTATGGTGAAAAAATACAACCCTGGCACATACCTTTCCTGATTTTAAACCATTCAGTGGTCTGTTTGATCTATGCACAGGTTCCTCATGAGCACAATTAAGTGTTCTGGAATACCCACTCTTTGCAATGTTATGCATAGCTTGCCATGATTCACACAGTGGCCTTGGAATAGAAAATAAAGCACAGATAAACATCTTTCTGGTATTTTCTGTTTTCAACCAAGAACCATCTGATGTAAGCAACAATATACCTCATTTCATGTCCTCAACTGAATCTGGCTTGAATCTTGGGGCAGTTTTCCTGTCAATGTAATGTTACAGTCATTTTTCAATTATCTCTAGCAAAACTTTAGTTGCATATCATATTAATGATATTGCCTGATGATTTACACATTCCATTGGGTAACCTCTCTTTTTAATGAAAAGCAAATGTGGATCTCTTCCAATCCGTTGGTCAGGTAGCTGTCTTCCAGATTTCTTGGTATAAACGAGTGAGGACCTCCAGTGCTGCATCAGTTTGTGGAGCCTTACTTGAATCAGTGCTGGCAGCCTTATTCTTGGCTAATGCCATCAGTATTCCTTGGACTTCTCCCTTCAATATTATTGGTTCTCGATTATGTACCTTTTGAAATGGTTGAACAGCGACCATTTCTTTTTGGTACCGTGACTCTGTGTATTTCTTTCATCTTCTTTTGATGCTTTCTGCATCATTTAATATTTTGCCCATAGAATCTTTCAATATTGTAGGTTGAGGTTTGAATTTTTTCTTCAGTTCTTTCAGCTTGAGAAATATTGAGTGTGTTCTTCCCTTTTGGCTTTCTAACTCCAGGTTTTTGCACATTTCATTATAATACCTGATTTTGTCTTCTAGAGCTGCCCTTTGAAATCCCTTTGGAATTTTCTGTTCAGTTCTTCTACCTCATTTCTTCTGTTTGCTTTATCATCTTTATGTTGGAGAGAAATTTCAGAATTTCTTCTGATATCCATTTTGATCTTTTTCTTTGTTCTTGTCTTCTTAACGACTGTTTACTTTATTCCAGTATGATGTTCTAGATGTCATCCCACAACTCTTCTGGTCTTTGGCCATTAGTGTCTAACGCATCAAATCTGTTCTTGAGATGATCTCTAAATTCAGGTGGGCTGTGTTCAAGGTCTTGTTTTGTCTCTTGTAGATTTGTTTGCATTTTCTTCAGCTTCAGCCTGAACTTAACATGAGCCATTGATGTTCTGTTTCACAGTCTGTCCCAGATGTAGTCATTTTGATTTCTGTGTATTCCATCTGGTGAGGTCCATGTGCATAGTCATCTTTTAGTTTGTTAAAAAAGGTTTTTGCATTGGTCTTGCAAAATTCTATCATGTGATATCCAGCATCATTTCTATCACCAAGGTCATGTCTTTCAACTACTGATCCTCCCTCTTTGTTTCCAACCTTTGCATTTCAATCACCAGTAATTATCAATACATTTTGACTGCATGTTTGATCAATTTCAGACTGAAGAAATTTGTTCTTCAATTTCATCAACCCTGGCTATAGTGGTTGGTGTATAAATTTGAACAGTGGTGGTATTAACTGGTCTTCCTTGTTGGCGTATGGGCATTATTCTATTATAGATAGCATTTTACTACAAGACAGATCATGAAGTGTTCTTTTTAATGGTGAATGTGACACCATTCTGCTTCAATTTGTCATTCCTGACATAGTAAACCATGTACCTAGGATATTGATTTTTATGGGTTCCATTTCATTTCTGGCAACTCCCAATTTTCCTAGATTCATACTTCATACATTCCGTGTTCTAATTATTAATGGATGTTTATAGTTGTTTATCCTCATTTTGAGTTGCGTCCCATCAGCAGAAAGCTTTACTCCATTCATGTCATCATGGTTTACTCTAC